AGATCTACTAATTACTTTGTTACAGTAGTGCATAACACCTTCATTTTTCAGACTTTTAATAAGCAATGGAATTTCAGTACCTAGACACAACGACCGATTATTATGGCATGGCTGGTTCCATACACCAGTGCGGCCAAGAAGCCGTTCAGGTTTTGGAACTTAAAACAAGAAAAAGATTATAATGGGCCACATTCAGCGACACACTACATTAAATTGCGGTGTATTTGAAGACATGTTTCTTAAGGGGGCAGTAGCGTCATTTGCACGTGTTTTGACGATTTTCGAACCTCCTGTTTAGACGCTAATATAAAGATAAGTATGAATGCCAGAGACAAACGGCAGGCACCATTTGAAAGATAAAAGTTTTTACAATATTTTCAAAAAAAAAATATTTTGTTTTAGCATTGAATTAGGATGTTTTGTGTTCTATGCAAAAATGGTCTGCAAAATTACATGGTGTCACTGCGCGCACGATTGCAGCCAAAGTTTTTAACTTTTTACCAATCGGTAAAATGCATCTGAAAAAGCATGAAATTGCCCATAAAATGACCCTTGGGTTTCAATATTGGGCAAGAAAAACTATTGAAACGCTCATCTTCAACTTAAGATGGAAACGAACCACATTTTTTCTGGCCCAATATTAAAACCCAAGGGTCATTTTATGGGCAATTTCATGCTTTTTCAGATGCATTTTACCGATTGGTAAAAAGTTAAAAACTTTGGCTGCAATCGTGCGCGCAGTGAAACCATGTAATTTTGCAGACCATTTTTGCATAGAACACAAAACATCCTAATTCAATGCTACAACAAAATATTGTTTTTTGAAAATGTTGTAAAAACTTTTATCTTTTAAATGGTGCCTGCCGTTTGCCTCTGGCATTCATACTTATCTTTATATTAACGTCTAAACAGGAGGTTCGAAAATCGTCAAAACACGTGCAAAAGACGCTACTGCCCCCTTAACCCATACAAAGTTTGGAAATCCTTGCAAAATTGAGAGAATAATTCGTCTGCTTATCCATGTTATACTGAGATATACAGGACCCATTAAGAAGAACAATACCTTCAACCAATTCACAAATTTACAAAATACTTCTCAGGTATGCCGTTCAATAAGAGTTTCAAATTTTACAGTTGGCAAGAACGGCAAAGGGGCGCTTTCCAAAAACAGTGACTTCTGTCAACTTAGTGTGGAAGGTTAAAGTCGTCTTAACGTTACTTAAGTTCTTGACTTTTGTCACTTAATGAAAATGGTTGGCCTTTGAACTTAGGATCAAACCAGAGACGCAGAAGCTGTTTGAAAATACCCTTGTTCGCCGCGTGCAACATGTCGCAAGTCATTCCAGCTACGCCAGTTCCGACAGTCCACACTGCGAGAAAAGATCACGGTATATCCTGTACTGATTACTCCAGACTTCACCGTACTTTTTTTAACAGGCAATGCCGTCGTTTTTTTACAGGCAATACCGTACTTTTTTTACAGGAAACGCCGTACTTTTTTTACAGGGAATCCCGTACATTTTCCCCCGGCAATCCCGTACTTTTAATACCTATCAAAAACTGCTATAATCTTGTTCAGTCGATTGACCCTCTTTTTCCAAGTTCCTGATGTACGCAACTGCTGAAGTCGGCCTCCTGGACCCCTCTTCCGACCACTCGTTGGAAAGGTCTTGACGAGACCTATTGAAAGGTGCAATAAAATTTTTCAGTCGGTCGACCCCCTTTTTTCAAGATCCTGATGTGGACACTTCTTGGAAGCGGCCTTTGTTGGGACCAGATCTGTCTTTCCTACGGCATGGACTGTACGGAAGAACGGTAACTACTGTTAAAAGACTACGGAATATTTTGTAAAACAAGTATGGTAAATACTGTAGACTGTACGGAGGATACTGGTTTTTGAAGTACGGTAAAGTTTGGCAAAAAAATTATCCAGGATTTACCGTCATTTTTTCTCAGAGTGCACGCCTGGCGTTTACACTTACCTTGAGAGGCGCCTTTGCGAGACATCGGTACTTATTTCAATCAAAGTAATCGCAAGTCGGGAAAGCATTTGGATTTTACGTTTTTCCTGGGGTCTCCACCCCTAGATACCTCGTGTTGAGCATGGAGCGGCAGGGTTCGCCGGCCAAACTGCATGGCTTGTTTGCGCTGGTACCCCCGAGAAGGTAAGAAAGACGTGTAAAGTCTGGTCTAATTATGCCCTATTGAAATTAAAATGTGGGTTGGAGGATGAAATGGATTCCATTTTCGTTTTCAGCACCCTCAAAAACTCAGGAAATAATGTAACACTTGGTGTGAAAACATCAGGCATTAAAACGTTAACTTTTTCCTGCCTTACTTTCAGTCGTTTTTGGTTCTTATGACCGAATGGATTGAGATAGAAAGCTGAATCATAGGCGAGCCAATGAAAGACCCTGCAACATGTCAGCTGCAAATCGGCCGAGCCGTTCAGGAGTAAAGTCTCGTATTGACCGTTTATGTCTCGCCTCTACATGATCTATTGACAATTTTATCTTTGTAACGATCAAAGTTGTGCATAGTTAAGGAGAAAATAGTACATTTTACGTTTTCTCAAAAACCGTTATAACCCAGCCAACATTTCAACATTCTGAAGATGTCCTTGGAATATTCTGATTGGGACACAGGATACTCCCCGGACGACATTCCTGGCACATGCTCAGGAGTAGTGAATGTATGTTTTGCCATAGTCCTGGGAATATCCTCAGGAGTACTCTCTGGTACATGCTTTGGGTAGATGGTTGGGACCATCGCAGCCCGGGGCAAATGAGGTCAAAATCAAATCTCGACTATGTCATTGTTCATTCCGTCCAACCTCCTTCCCACCGTCTCAACCAATTTGCTTTCTTTGTCCGGGATTCGAACCCCGATCCTTCATGTTATGAGCCCGATGCGCTGCCAACTGCGCCATGGATGAGCTCTGCGAGAACCTGCCGCACTGTGGGTCAGAATCGGAAAAACCTTTGCAATATGACGATTCGTCAAGTTCTGAATTGTGGAAAAATAGATCGTAGGTGTGAAAGAGGAATGTCAACGCTGCTAAAAGGCGAAAAAAATTCGTCTCTACCCCCCACCTGGTCGCCAGGCTCGACGTTTTTGTCGCCACCGTTTGGAAGCAGGCGCGCGACCCAGCGCGGAGCGGAGAAAATGTACCTTCTTTCAGCGTCGTTCTACGGGACTCTACTTCGTTTGAAGATTGTACAAGCACGGTTTCCCGTAGTTTGAGATCTCGTCTTTCCATTGGTACCAAAATTTTTCAGGTAGCGTTTATAGTTTTGGCGCTAGAGCCAAAACCAAGTGACCATGCACATTTGTCTATTTTTTTACACATTTCTCTCACAAAACAGGCTGCCAAACTTTGCCAACCTCTTGCAACCTCCTGATTCTTATCGCGATGTGAAGCTTAAAGTGTCCCCTTTCGAATGCACCAAGCGGAATTTGCGCCAATTTGCGCCGAGAGGCCCAAAAGGCGCGATATTCGTAAACATTTAGTGTGATGCGTGCTATGTGTCCGTTCGTCTTTTCGTTCGTTTTGGGACTTCCCGTGGTCCGATCTTCACCAAATTTGGTATGCAGCCTCCTTGGGTGACCCTTAGAGCTGCCCCGTGGCAGCAAATCCGATCCGAGCCCCCGGGTTGGTGCAGCAGGTGCATCATGGTCTACATAGGGTCGAAGAGGATTTACGCCCGATTTAGGCACAGTATGCAGCGAGAATGGCATGTAGGGGTATTTTTGGAATCGGGGCGACAAGAAAAAGCCAACGGTGCTAGTTTCGAGCAAATCGGAGAGGTTTGGACCCGGGTTCAAATCCCGGTGGGGGGACCATTTTTTTTAAATCAATCTTTGCATTCTTTAATATGTTGTTGGTGTTGCTAATGACGAAAATAACATTCATTTAGACCCAGACCCAGGTTCAAAACCCGTAACGGTTAAACATAGGCGTAATTCGAGAATTTTTAAATGTACGGGACAAGCTAAAGTTGCCGATGTGTATCGCCACTTTTCATGCTGTTCTGCTACACCAATGAGTCAAGGGTACGCCACTGACTCAAAATAACGCCAGAAATGGTTTCAGTGCACCTGGAAACACTTCGGCAAGTAAACATTCGGAAAGATTTCTGAAAATTTGTGTTTCATGGCTACGCCACTGGGTCTAGGGTACGCCACTGACTCAAATTGGCGCCAGAAATGGATTCAGCGCACCCCAAAACCCCCTTCACTGAAATTTCACATCGATAACTCAAATCGTTTCCATGGTAGACATTTTGCAAAGGTTTTTCTGATTCTGACCCATAGTGTGCCGCCGCGCCGCAGGTGACTCCGGAGGCTGCCCGCCGCGCCACCCGCAGCCCGAAGTGGAGGGGGGAGAGGGCGGGGCTGGCCGGCCGGCCAGCCGGGGTCGCCTGGACTCAGAGTCCGGCGGTTCCGGCGGCACCTCTACCGCTGTAGATGGCTCATTAAGCGACGTGCTAGCAGCGTCGGCCGCTCCCCCGCCCCTCCTCCCCCCCGTCGCGCTCCTCCTGGCTAGACCGGAAGGGGCTTCGGTTTTGGACGGAGTGGGGGAACCTCCGAGACCCGGAAACAGCGAGGATGCGGGGTGAGGAGGGGCTGGGGTGGTGGAGGGTGGCCGCATGCCGCCTTAGCGCGTTTCCCCCACCCCATTTTCCGGGGCCGGGCTGCCTCGACGGCCAGCCGTGCGTCCCGTAAGGCTCATCCAGGAGGCCCGGTCTAGAGGAAGGAGCGCGACGGGGGGGAGGAGGGGCGGGGGAGCGGCCGACGCTGCTAGCACGTCGCTTGGCTCATTTCTCAGAGGACGGACTTGAAATTTTCGCGACGCTAATGAGCGTCACATGCGCACCGACAGGTATTTGAAAGGGCCTAAATAAAACTAGGCAGAGCTAACGCTCAAGGCTGAGCCTAAGATTCCATATTTTTCCTGAGGGCTAGGTGTAGGTGGTGGGGGTGGGGGTGACTGAGGGTTTGATAGGGTTTTGGCTGTGATATCTTATATTTCTGTTCTTCTACAGAAATGTAAGAAGGATAAATGTAACATATTTTCCCTTTTTTTTTGTGAATAACAAAAACTGCTAATATAGTAGGTTTTTAATCAGTGAAGACATGCGTCAATATAAGTTACAAAAGGTTTGATTTTAAAAATGAAATACGTTAAAATTTTAGATATGACACAAACAGTATAGAAACTTCAACACGCAAAAATGTAAAAGAAAGACATGAATATGTTTAAGGCACTGATACTGAGATATTTTAATTTATGGTAAAGCTGTTTTGAATCTCCTGGGTCAAATCCATTTTCTGATGAAAGTGCCGAACATATTGGTTTAGAATGACTGCATTGCTTTTTGGAACTCTTCTTGGTAAAAAATTTTTCCTTGCAAGAGTTGCAAGTTCTCCATTCCAATGTGTGTAATATATTTTCAAATTTATTTTGGTACTCATCAGGTCTAAAACACTGTTCATTTGTATCATGGTTGTTTTGCTGCTGGTCATTTTCAACATGAGATTCATTTGTACCATTTTCTATATCATTTGCAGTCATATCTAGAAAAGCAAACCAAAGTATGACAGATAACATGCATAAAATTTGTAATTTTATAATGTATGATACATAAATGCACTTCTCTTACCTGCAAAAATATCATCTGGTCCCCACTTTGGAAAACGAATCATGTCGTTATCAGATATAGGCAAGCTGAAGTAAAGTGTGGGAACTGCTTTTGATAGCAACCTCTTTCTGGTTTGAGGATTGTAATACTGTGAACTGTCAAAATGATCACTGCACAGCCCATGCTTGCCATGCAATTTAGACGAATACTGGTTCAGCAACTCAATATTGCCACTGTTCTTGATCCATAGCTTACATCTGCAAACACAATACATAATTTTTTTTGCATAAGTCACATGAGGAAGCAAGCACAAAATAAGTTATGAAGAGTAGCAGCTAATAAGTACCTATTTAAGTTTTCATGATTGATTTGTCCATTGATAACAATAGCTGGAAAAGTGTGCACTGTTTGTCTGTTGGAGTTGGAACAGTTTTCAGCAAAACACTTCCGAGAAGTATTAGTTTTTAATTTATTTGGAGGGACCTGAAGAATAGCGTTGACCAAACATGAAAGAAAAATTTTAAAAATAAAAAGAGCGGACAATTAAAAGCAAGATAAAAACCATTGATGACAAAAAAGGTGATCAAAAACATCAAAGTTAGTTTCAACTACCTCAACTTGATTGGTTCTCCTACATAAAACATCATTTCTTGCATTAGATCTATCGTCAGGGATAGAAATAACTGAAGTTAAGTTATTACCATTGTCGAGTGTTGGACATATCTGTTCCTGCACAATAAAATATGGTGATCTAATAAAGTGAATAAATTGGATACAATTCACCACTTTGGGTTCAAAGTAGATTTGACATAAAATATTTACCTGAACAAAGTTTCCCCTTTCAAAAACATTGTTGTTTTCTTCGTCAAATAATGTATCTAAATTGAAAGATCCAGTTTCAGTCAAAATCGAATAACCTTCAGGTTCATCAAACAATGTATCTAAATTGAAGGACCCAGTTTCAGCCAAAATAGAACAAGCATCAGGTTGATTCATATCTATTTCTACAACACTTGAAAATGCATATTGGTTATATTGGTCAGGTTGTGCTGTGACTATTGGTGGTTGGTTTGTTTCGTGCTGATGTTGATTTCTTTCGAGCTGATGAATATTCTCAGTTGCAGTATAAACCCCACTCTGATGAAGTTGAAAATATTGGATGGGTTGCACATTAACACATTCTACTGCTTGTTCTTGTCCTTGATTTTCTTCAGTTTGCTGGTAGACTTGCTCTGCAACCTGCGTCAGATCAAGAATTGAACATTATCTATGGTGAAATACGAATACATTCCCTTTAAATTTTCAATGAAGACAATTCTATTTCTCCCTCATGAGCAGTAGCTTGAATTGAAGTTTCAAATCACTGTTCAGATCTCATAGACAATTTTGAGATTCAGTTCTTTGGCTTCCCAACGTAACATCCCCCACGCATTGACCCGCCATGTAATAGCAGCCGCCATATTGTCAACGCAGCAGCACATTGCCGAAGGGGTTCAGTTTACGATTTAAAAAGAAGTACAGTTTTACGAGATCACAAACAAGATAAACATTGGATTTAAGGTAAATTGTTACAGGATGCATTGTCATTATTTGAGGTGGAAGGTGATATTGTGTGGTTGATCTCAGTTCCAGTTGCCGCCCAGCTCTGATCAAGTTGAAAGTTTTCAACGGGTTGCACACTTACACACTCCACTTGTAGCTCTTGTCCGTGATTTTCAACTTGCTGGTGGTGTTCCTCAGCACCCTGCATCAGATCCAGAATCAAACATTATCTACAGTAGAAAATTAAACTAACATGAGATTTCAGAGTTCAAAATGGCAACGAACATTGTCATTTACTGAAATGGAAGGCACTGCTCCTCTTTTAAGTTTTCTGTTTCCCTTTTCTTCAGCTAAGAAATGATTGCTGCAAATGAAGATATTCTTGGTGTTACACTCTTGTTTGTTTTGAATATTTATCCATTGACGCCACTGTGTTTGTTGTATCTGGTCTTTTGGGAGTCTGCAAAATGAAACATAGTTTTTTTAAAAATTAGGCACTGTGAAGAAATTGTGGCAGGCCAGGCATTATAGAGCAACATAACCCCTCTTGAGGATAAAGACACTTGTAAATATCGAATAATTGAATGGACTTTACCCAAACAAGCGAACGCCTTCGACTATAGGTTGGGTCGCAAACCGGCACGACAACACGCAACATCTTCTTCTGTCTGACATTTCGCTGGCACTTAATGCATTTCATTTGGGATTTAGTCATCAAGGATTTACTTGTCATTCCGTTTCACGCTCACGACGACATCGGCACGTCGGCTGCTGCGGTTCAACTTTTTGCTTGGTCCACCCGACATTGGTCATCCTTTCCTTCCAAATGTACCCGACATTAATACTTTTTGAAACCAGGTTGACCAACATTTCGTATGAACTCCGAACCGTTTCTACGCCTTTCAAAGCAGCTTTTACGTAACTTGGAGATGATATTAAAACACATTTACACCTTTTTTGTTTGAAAGCATCATGTTTATTGTGCTAACTCTTGCGTGGAACGTAATTTGTAAACAATTTTAGCGTTTGCAAGTTGCCCCCACCATCCTGTGAGGTTCAGAGCCTCTGGCACGGGCTGCGGTCTAGGGGCTGTCGTAAAATGGAGGCTTCGCAGTTAACAACTGAAACCCAACATTAAGATTGAAAGAACGTTAACGATCGAAATCTGAAACATAGTTGAAGTGGCTCAGCCAAATATGGGTGCAGTATGCGCAGATGCATATCGTCGGCGAGAAGGACAGCGCAAGCGCTGAAATTGAAAGCTATGGGTCCGAATTTTCGAACAAAGGGTAATTGACATGGTGAAAATATTTTTAAATCCTAATTTTGGGTGAGCAAAACTAAATTTCCGCGAAGCAGGGTGAGCATATGCATTTCAACCAAACATCAGTTAACGCAATTTGGATAGAAACTAAGGGAAACTCATCTCACCCGACTTTGGGATAATACAACCTCATTTTGCGCAATGTGTGCGTTGCTTAAAATGTTCAGGGGGTTTTCTAGGGACTTGAAAAAGTCAAAGTCGTCCGAATGTTCTGATCTGACATCCCGGGGACATGCAGTCCGGATGAATCACAGAACGGTGCACGTGAGAATGTTCTGAGGACATGCGGAAGAGGTGCGAACCGGGACTATACCGGGATGGTCCTGAGCGGGAGACTAGTGGGACATCGTCCGGGCTGTTGATGTTCTGAGGAAGTCCCCACCAGGATAACGCCAAGAGTATCCCGGCACGGACCTCCCTAGAATATGCAGCTGTGCTCTTAGGTGTGAGTGTCCCGCCTGGAAGACCAGGGGAATATTCTCGGGAGTATCCCGGTCGAGACATGGACATTAAATGTTGACAGGGAAACAAGAGAGAAAAAAGTCCATCTAGGTCTGAGAGTGTGGGCTTCGCTATCGTTCAGCCAAAACCTTTCAGTCGGCCAACCCCCTTTTTCCAAGACCACGATCTGGCCAATAGACGAAGTCTACGTATGCTCACGGTTTGGTCCAGGTGACATAACAGCGCGATCTATTATTGTTGACGGTACTGAAGAAAATGAGGTATCCACCTAAAAGAGGAATAAAGTCAGTAACTGATGAGCGTTGAGGGCTCTGACCTCTGGCTTGAAATCGTCACATAGTGAGCAGCTGAAGACCATAAACGAAATTGCTGCCACAATTTTTTAGAAAATATTATTTTGCATTTTTCGTCACTCAGCAGTAACCTTGACGATTCTTTGGAAATATTCTCCGACTACTCAATGATAAAACTCACACGAACACCTGCCGGCCCCCGCAGTGAGACGGTATAAATCGTGCACGTCGGACTGAGAAAAGTCAGTACAGCAGTACGTTGCCATGTTGTTCAAGGTCGTTGTTTTCGTCGCCGCGGCAGTAGTCGTGAGTATTCACTGTTAAAAGACATGCCTGTCAGGGTCCCAGATACGGTCCGACCGCACTAAAACCATGCATTCCATTGAGTCCATCAAAAACCGTAGAACATTACAGGAATGATATCGATGGGAGTTCTTCACTAACCAAAATGATCATTTGCCCGAATTTTCACTAACCCGAATCTTCACGAGGCCGAATTTCCTCTAGTAGTTCCGTCCTTTTGCAATGTTCCCGTTTTGTCTCACTTGCCCGAACTGTCACTAACCCGAAGGCCACGCAAAAGTGTTTCACTAAGCCGAATCTTCACTAACCTGAATTATCACTGGCCCCAAACTCGGAACCAGGTTGGGGGACGTATTTCACTCTGCTGCTTTAGGTCTGCACGGTAAAAACGGAACCTGGTTTTCCCAGCAACTCCCTGGAAATCGCCTATGTCTCTACCATAGGCTTCCTGGGAAAACCAGGTTCCGTTTTTACCGTGTGCCGTGAATAGGGTAAAATCTGTCGCATTAAGAGTAATTTTGTTGCGAGCCCGTTAGGTCAGGTAAAAAGGTCGTACCACTTACTTTCTGACATTCCGGCCCTGCGAACTGCAGTTTCCCTCTTGCAGACACTAGCTGCGGCCACCCCTTTTCCACATTTCAGTGACCACGTCAGCGAAACGGAATGGAAAAGCTCCACCTTCGCGGTACTGGCACAACGCTCCTACACGCATGCTTTCGGCTTAGTCACAATTCGGGTCAGTGAAACAAATTTCGTTTTCGACTAAATGATCGTGTTCTGTGTTTACGGGTTTGGGTCAGTGCGGGGAAAAACTGGACAGATGAAGAACTGAACACCCTACATTTCACTGCAAATGCCGTAAGCACAGGCTTACTCTACAAATCGAAGAGCGTACATTGTATGCTCTAACTGGAGCATGCCTGCAAGCACGCTCTAGCTAGCGCATGCCTGCCAAGCATGCACTTACTAGTGCATACATGTCATGTACACGCTAACTGGAGCATGCATCTAGTGCATAAGGGATAGGGAGTTGCCTGCATCAGGAAGCGTGTACATGGCATGTATGCTCTAGTAAGTGCATTCTCGGCAGGCATGCGCTAGCTAGAGCGTACCGTAAACCGGGGTAACTTGAGACAGCAAGGGTAACTTGAGACACTTCTCCCTTTGCACCTTCTTGGAGCTGCCACCTGGCTCGGCACATTCGGAGGTCAAAACTGCCCTAGCACTTTCTTTCATACTTGTTTGGAAAGACGATTAAGCGTGTGAACGGCGGGTTAGGACCAAGCTGGTCAGATCTATAACGATTTTTCAATTTTAGTAAATTTAACAATTTTAGAGAAGTGTTACAAGTCTCCCTTGGTACTCGAAACACGTCTTGCTGAGACCCAAATGACTGTAGTACCTTTCACGCCAATTATTTCAACATTCGAAATGCAGCATTGGTTTTGAGGAAAACCCATCATTCATCGGGTAATACTGACTTTTATAGAAAATGGTAACTGTGAGGGGTAACTTGAGACACCAAATTTCATTGAATTTGACGGAAGTTGAGTAGCGTAACTTGACACTGGCACCTCCTTGTACTACATGGTGGTTTAAAGTAACGGGCCTCTCCGTTCTACGATCAAAACTAAGCCGCATTTGATCGGGAATCACATTTTTAGACAGTGTTAAGGGTCCCGAGTGGATATGCAACTTAAAGTTGGAGTGTTTTCTCAACTACACACGGACCAGATGAGATATAATAAATCTTGAGGTCTCAAAAGATGGGGAATTTAATTACCTTTCCAATGAGCTAAATGTCATTGAAATCGGACAACTTATAGCCCAAGAACCGTCGATTTTTTGAAGAAAAACAACTGTTAAAATAGTTTAAGGATTGTGAGTAAATTTTAAAAATTGACTAAGACTATATACCTTTGCAGGAATGGACTTGTGTACGTAGAAATAAAGAAAAATGTCTTAACAGGTGTCAGGGTTGGATATGAAATGAGAGAATCGCTGTACTTAGTTGACAGAGATGGATGTGAAATGGGAGAACACTGTTAAAAATTGTTGTTTTAAAACAACAACACAATTACCAACCTCGACAACGCTGTTGTTTGTGAACAAGTTTGCTTGTTTTAAAACGACGAATTCGTTGCTAATTATTTTTATGACTTATGCTGTTTCAAAACAATATTTTGCTGCGTACAAACAACCCGGACAATCTAAGAAGTGGTTACTGCGGGGTAACCGGGACTCTACTAGGTCAGCGGGTGGAAACTACTTTTCCGAAACGGGCGTGCAGACGTTTTGTTATCCGTTAACATCGGCCGAACCAAGCGAGCTAGGTAAAATCTGCTTACATTTTCGGAATCAGCCCAAAATTTGACAGGGAATAGGGTACTTTCTAGATGGCGAAACCAAATTTTTCATGGTTATTTTGAAGCCTAAAAAAAAATGTGTTGCGAAATATGGCCCTGATCCCCTGTCTCGCACTGTCGCGGTTTGCCCCAAAAAGACTGATTTGGAAACGTTAATGTGGGCGAACGGAGCGTCGTATCACAAATCCAAAAAAAGATTTGGAATCCTCAAAACATTTAAACGGTATAGGCATATGCGTTCTTTTGAATTTTCAGATTTTATCCTGATAACTGTCGGCGAATTTCAGTCGATTACTTTTACAACAAACATTTGCGTGGGGTCAAGTACCGACTATTATCGGGGATCGTTGTCATAAGAAGGAGTGGCTACCTACTCCATCTTTTAGCCTATACATTGGCAAATTTTTTTAGGATTCCAAAACTGGTCTCAGATTTGTGATACGACACCCCGGTTGTTCACATTAACGTTTCAAGATGGAAAAAGTTACTCGACGAGACATGGGATTTTTTGGGCCCTTTTTTAAACATTTTTGTTTTTAGGCTTCAAAATAACCATGATAAATTTGGTTTCGCCATCTAGAAAGTACCCTATTCCCTGTCAAATTTTGGGCTGATTCCGAAAATGTAAGCAGATTTTACCTAGCTCGCTTGGTTCGGCCGATGTTAACGGATAACAAAACGTCTGCACGCCCGTTTCGGAAAAGTAGTTTCCACCCGCTGACTAGGTCTGTGACCTAATC